CTGGATGCAGTTCTTCATATATACACACACGTCAATTTCAAGCAGATGGTATCGGCCGATACTCCGCAGCCAGGTATCGGTGCAACTCTACTATCTAGGTTGAAAAGAGAAGCNAATTTCAAGCAGATGGTATCGGCCGATACTCCGCAGCCAGGTATCGGTGCAACTCTACTATCTAGGTTGAAAAGAGAAGCTTTTATAGGAAGGTAGTTTGTTAATTACTTTGTTTCCTTACTTAAGTAGAAATTCAGTTTATCTATACTTTATTAGCGTAATTATTCTCTAAACAGCTTTTTAATTCTACTCTTTAAATTAAAAAACTAGACTTGTTAGCTTTATTTAATTTAAGCTAATTTTCATTATAGCCTACTGGTATTAAAAAAATAAATAATTTGTTTCATCCAGACAATTAATTTCTTTGTGGACTCGGTGCTGCCCCAACGTGTTGCTCACCACATACATAAATAAATAGTTTATTAAGATGATGCAAAGATAAATGTGACTCTGTTACCATTAGTGATAAAACTAAGAAAATAAAGTCTAAGGAAGTTTTCATCCAGAGTTGTAGAAAAATGTTCCTTTAATAGAGTAGAGCAGTAAAGCTTCTCTCCTTTACAGTTTTTCCTGCATTACTTTGACTTTTATACTTTAAGTTCTTATAATAATTGTACTTTTACACTTTTACTGGAGTAAAAAGCTGAATCCTCTAACTTCTATAAAAGTGTTTTAAACAGCAGGATTTATGCTTCTACTGGAGTAATAAACATTAAGACTTTTAACAACTCTGGATATAAAATAATTTAAAAAGGGTTATTGGCTGTCTGATTTAGCAGGCAGTTATTCCAGACTAAAGACGTCTACTTATCAGTAAAAAAAATAGATCTCCTATTAATTCCCTTCCCCACATCTTTAAGTGTCTTTAAGTGAGAAAGTCCACCTTCAAACATCCTCTGTTCATCTGTTCATCAGGATTATAATCCCACTAACATCTGCTGGTCTTGTTGGGAGCTCCAGACCTCCAGTATATCGCCGCTGTAGGTACCAGATTTGCTCGGGGCCCCGCCCCTTCTTATGATGTCATTGTATGGCAACTCCACTCGTACAAACTGTTTCTTAAGGATCAAATCTCTTTTAGAGTCCTAACATATTATTTCCTATATTTGCTATTATTTTACATTTCATTGGCGATCTAAAGTTGCTGAAAGTAGAAAACAATTATTGTCAGTCTGGATAGAAAGTATTTCGTTCTAAGACTGAGTCTACGCTTATTTTTATTCTTTTTATTAACATCTGAGGTCAGAGGAGGACAAATGGAACGTCTTAAAAAATGACTTTCATAGAGATTTTAGACGAATAAAACAGTTTTTCTACTTGTAGAAAATGAACGGTTGTTGTTGACACGAATTTAAAAGTATTGTAGCTTAATGTGGCTAACTGACGAGCTAAAAGAGACTAACCTGTTAGCTACTGAGCACAGCTAGCCGCAGCGCTACTTAGCTCTTTATATCACGGCTAACAGTTACTTTGTTCACCCGTTTTGTTGTCGATCAGGTAAAACTTCAACGGTCATTAGACACGCTAACGCTACAGATGCTCTCGAGTCGGCATACGGACGCTGCGTGATGTTATTGCCGTTGTCTGGGCAACCACAATGTTTTATATCATGTGGCAACGTTCAGCCAATCATGTAGCGTAACGTCACTGGCAGGAAGCAGGACCAGAACATGGTTTGGGGTTGCGATGATAGCAAAAACGAATTTACTCAATCGCTCCAATCACAACCCCTTTACAGAAGAACAGAAGACCTCGACTATTCATCCAGACCAACTATTCCCTCTAACGACCCCCCTTTCGGTAGGGATGGGAATCAAAAACTGGTTCCTGTTCAGAACCGGTTCCGTATTTTCCGATTCCATGGCATCATTTGGCAGCTGGCTGAACGATTCTTTTTTCGAATCCCGCAGCACCAGAGCCTAGAG